ATTCAATTAATTTTTATTAAAATTTTATAATTTTATAGATTAAAACATGCTTTTTCTAATGATATAAATTTTAATAACCAAATTATTTTAATAAACTATACTTGTATATATCATGAAGTTGCTGTGGTAACCTCAAATTTGCTGGGGTTACACAAAATCATTAATTTTGATTGGTTGTATCATATGATCATCATATGATTTTTGTAAACAAAAAATCAATACTCAATCTTTAAATGCATATTTCTTAGCAAATATTTAACCAATTTTAATAATTTTACTACCGTTAGAATCAAAAGAATCTATTCTACAAATTTGATTATAAATTTTAAAATAACTTACTTAATAAAATTTTCTTTAATTATAAAAAGAAAAAATTTTTGCCATCATGATCATATAAAAATTAATTTACCTTTAAGCAAAATTTAAATATTATTAGGTTTAGTCAAGTTGACAAATTAGGCCACCTACATATTTATTGAATCTACTGAAATCAAGAATTATGATAACACCTGCATCAATAGCTCATATCAATGCATTTTCGGTATGCTTTGATCTAGATTTTTTATATATGCATGAAGGTTCACGAGGTTTTTGTACATTACATTACGTAGCGGTAGAAAAGATTTTTTTTATAACGACTCAACTCATTCATTATGCTGAACGTATCTCGATTTTTATCGGCTTTTTTTTTTTACAAAATTTTAGCACTTTTTGTCATATAAAACCTTTATAACATACGTAACATTATCTGTTATGGTATCAAGATTCATATTTAAATATGATTGTTTACCTTTTGATAAACAATATTATACTCTAACGCGTATTCTCAACAAAATCAAAGCCATCTTTAATAAAAAAACTCTTGAACAACCTTATTATAATGACACTCGAATATTTCAAACAAGACCCTAAACAATGGAGTATTAAAGGGTTTTTAAGGCAATACAAAGGAAAAGACTCATTTGAACGTACAATCGACATATACCTTAGAGAATCGTTAAAAATGGGACAGAGAATGAATCAAAGAAGGCACAAAGTCTCCTAAAGAACTACAAAGTGGTAAGTAAAAAGTATTT